TTCACAAAGTGCCCTCTTTGACCCCGATGTTTTTCAGACCAACAGTAGTGAGAATCCCTACACAGACCCCGCAGACCTGATCGCGGACGCCGCTGTGAGCCCCAACAGCGACTCCTCCAACCATTTTTTTCCAGATGGGGTAGATTTCAACCCTGACTTGCTAAACAGTCAGAGCCAGAGTGGTTTTGGGGAGGAATACTTCGATGAGAGCAGCCAGAGTGGAGACACTGATGATTTCAAGGGCTATGCCCCCCAGGCTCTAACTAATTTGGGGGTGCAAGTCTTAGGGGCTGATGGGGGGGAAAATAAATTTAAGGGGAGCACTCCGTCCGATACGGTGGATTTTAGTATTATTGCAGCTGCCAGCAAAGCACTGGGGTCCTCTGACATCATGGAGCACCACAGTGGAGGTCAGAGCCCTTTGCTGAATACGGGGGATTTAGGAAAAGAGAAGTCTCAGAAACGGGTAAAGGAAGGCAATGGGTCTGGAAGTGCCATGGCAGGAGCTGGGATGGATGGGAAGCCAGGGAAGCGCAGCCGGACGCCATCCAGTGATGGCAAAAGCAAAGAGAAACTTCCAAAGCGGAAGAAGCAGGAGACAGATGGGAAATCTCCATCCCACAGTTCATCCAACAGGCCCTTCACGCCACCAGCAAGCACAGGTGGGTCCAAATCTCCGGGGAGTTCGGGCAGATCCCAGACTCCTCCCGGGGTAGCTACTCCTCCTATTCCAAAAATAACCATTCAGATCCCAAAAGGAACAGTGACTGTTGGCAAACCATCTTCACACGGCCAGTACACGAGTAGTGGTTCTGTCACCTCCTCCAGCAGCAAAAGCCATCATAGCCATTCTTCCTCCCCCTCCTCTTCTTCCTCCTCTTCAACCTCAGGCAAAATTAAAAGCAAATCAGAAGGGTCTTCTGGCTCAAAGATGAGCAGTAGCCTCTACTCCAGCCAAGGCGGCTCCGGCTCGGGTCAGTCCAAGGGCTCGGCCCAGTCGGTGGGAAAGCCGGGATCCTCCCCCATCACCAAGCACGGCCTCAGCACCGGCTCTGGCAGCACCAAGATGAAACCTCAAGGAAAGCCATCATCCCTCATGAACCCTTCCATGAGCAAACCAAACATCTCCCCGTCCCACTCGAGACCCTCGGGGGGTTCTGAGAAACTTGCTTCTCCCATGAAACCTGTCCCGGGTACTCCCCCGTCGTCAAAAGCGAAGTCACCCATCAGTTCAGGTTCTGGTGGGTCCCACATGTCTGGCACTGGGTCAAGCTCGAGCATGAAATCATCTTCAGGCATGGGATCCTCCGGGTCTATGTCACAGAAACCGCCTCCCTCGTCCAATTCCTCCACGGCATCTTCATCTTCCTTTTCATCCAGTGGGTCTTCCATGTCTTCATCCCAGAACCAGCATGGAAGCTCCAAAGGCAAGTCCCCGAGCAGAAACAAGAAGCCATCGCTGACCGCAGTCATAGACAAGCTGAAGCACGGGGTGGTCACGAGCGGGCCTGGCGGAGACGACCCCATGGATGGACAGATGGGGCCGAGTTCCAATTCCTCAAGCCATACAATGTCCTCCAAACACAACATGTCTGGAGGGGAGTTCCAGGGAAAGCGGGAGAAGAGCGACAAGGAGAAATCGAAGGTCTCTGTTTCTGGAGGATCCGTTGACTCTTCCAAGAAGAACTCGGATTCCAAAAACGTCGGCAGCACTGGAGTGGCCAAAATTATCATCAGCAAACACGATGGTGGTTCCCCCAGCATTAAAGCCAAAGTAACTTTGCAGAAACCAGGGGAAGGGGGCGGGGATGGGCTGAGGCCTCAGATGGCTTCTTCCAAAAGCTACGGCTCCCCCTTGATCAGCGGCTCCACCCCCAAACACGAGCGCTGCTCCCCCAGCCACAGCAAATCCCCAGCCTACACCCCCCAGAACATCGACAGCGAGAGCGAGTCGGGCTCTTCCATTGCCGAGAAATCCTACCAGAACAGCCCCAGCTCCGACGATGGCATCCGGCCCCTGCCCGAGTACAGCGCCGAGAAGCACAAGAAGCACAAAAAGGAGAAGAAAAAAGTGAAAGACAAAGATCGGGACAGAGAAAGGGACCGGGATAAGGACAGGGACAAGAAGAAATCCCACGGCATGAAGCCCGAGAGCTGGTCCAAGTCTCCCATCTCAGCAGATCAATCTCTGTCCATGGCAAGCAACGCCATCCTCTCGGCTGAGCGGCCGTCCCGGGCCAGCCCCGAGTTCCTCATCGGGGAGGAAGATGATGATCTCATGGATGTTGCTCTAATTGGCAATTAATTCTCCCAGATGAGCTGTCTGCAGGTCGTGGAGGGAAGGAAGGAAGGATTCATCTCAAACCTGCCACACGGATCTTCACGGGGTGTGTTTGGAGAGGGGGAAAAATAAGTATTTCCAAGGTATTTCTAAGATTTTCAGACCTCCAAGGTCTGTGCAGAAGGATGTGAGTGCCAGGTCCCTGCCTGTGGCCTTCATCCTATGGGCACTTCCATTCTTCCTGAATTTATGAGTATTATCATCCCCTGGAGTTAACGGGGATGAATCTGAGTGTGGGAATGTGGGAGCAGCTCCCAGGTGGGACAAACAGACATAGGCTGGTCTGGGAGATCCCAGTCCCTCTGCCCTCTTCCCATTCAGGATAAACTCCTTTTGAATGTAGGAAGTTTTAAAGTAATTATTTTAGGAAATGTGTTAGGGCTGGGTTTTAATTCTTTGGAAGAAGGAAAACCACGAGATTTTTAATTTATTTTATTCCCACGGCATTCCTTCATTCAATGCCCAGCTTAGCAGGGTGCCTCTGGCACAAGCTGGGCGCTGTTTCCTCATGGAAATCAGGATTTTATCCCAGGTCTCAGCTCTGAGGGATTGCTGCTGCCTTGGGTTTGCCTTCCCATTTATTTCAGCTATTTATTCACCTCCATGTGGCAACACCTCGTGCTCCTTGTTTTCCCCCAGTGGGAATTTGGGTAGAGCCCGTGGGTTTGGGTGGCTCTGCAGCTTTGGTGACATTCCAGCATGGTGAAATTCCAGCAAATCTCAATGGAAAAGGGACTCCTGCCTGAACCAACAAGCTTCCCTGGAATCTCCTCGTGCTGCTGAAGCTGAAAATTGTGGTCACACACAGGAGCACTGCCCTGGGAAGGATTGTCCAGCTAAGGGACCCATGTCCTGCTTGGAAAACAGTCCCAGAGTGGCTCAGCTGGGATCAGAGTTGCAGCAGAAGTGTTGATTTCCTTAAAAGATGGATTTTCCCCTTTTGGCTGGAATTAGGAGCATGACTCAGGCATTCTCTCCGGGCTGATCTTGTGGTCCCTGAAAGGAAAAGAGACTCAGGAGAGTGTTTTATTTTTAAAAGCAGTTCCATCTGATTCACTGAAGAGGAATGTGGGAAATCAGGAGTTCTGGAAACACATCTCCTGTGGAATTATGTACTGAGCAGGATCATGCTCCCACTGGATTTTGCTGTCGGTGCTGGAGGCCAGGATTTCCCCGTGGGAATGAGGTTGTGCTTCAGCTTTGGGGATGCAGCGTGAAAAGATGGCAAGGATTTGAGTTTTTCTTTTAAACCACTGAAATTTCCCATCCTGGGCTGACCCCAGGGATACCCCAGGAAAGCTGTCTGGTTTCCAGCTTTTTTGGAAAGTCTTTTTAGTAGCTTGGCAACTCTCCTGTTAATTGTAGGGATTTTTCACCCCTTCCTCCTGCCTCCAGTTTAATTCCAGCATGGGAGCCTGAATGTCTCCCAAAATTCCCCCAGCTCTGGAGAACTTTCCCTCCTTACATTTTCCAGTATTTATCCCTTTCTCCTGGTGCCCTGCACACCACAACCAGAGCTTGAAATGATAGGAAAATGGGAACTAAATCCAAACCTGGAGCAAAAAGTGATCCCTGGCACAGTGTTGGAATCGTGGGGTGCTGCAAAGAGGATGTGAGGAGCACAATCCCAGAGGAATTCAGCTGGACACCCTGTTCCAGTGGCTCTGTTGGGAATGTTGCCAGTCAGCCTCTGGAGCTGCCCCCATCTCCTGCTATTGTCAAATCCATTGTTTTGGACAAAATCCCTTCGGTCCGTTGCGAGTTGTGCGAGGGGGCACAAGCAGCCTTCCAAACAAAAAGCACTTTCAAGTGGAATCCAGGCTGGGAATCCCTCAGGATGGCTCCCTGGACTCGTTCTTGGCCAGAGCTGTGTTTTCCTGCTGTGCTGCACACTAAAATATGGAAGGGAAAGCAGCAAAATTGACACAAAAACCTGTTTTAAAGGAACAAGCTGCACTCGTTTCCTCTCCCCTCACCCAGACCAAAGCTCAGTATCCAAAATTCCCCCTGTGGAAGGTGGGAACAGAGGGAACAACGTCTCCTCCAGCCCAAATTTAAAGCTTTTCACCCCATTTTGCTGCCCTGTCCCCTTCCAATGATGTCAGTCCTGGGAGAGCTGAGGTGCATGACCACGAGAGGCATTGGGGTGTCAGTGCTCGGGCTCTGAGAAATGGTTTATTTTTGGAATATTTTTGCTTATATTCTCAATAATTTTACATCTTTCAGTATTCAGAAAGATAAAATAAAGTGAAAATTTAATATAAGCCAAACCTTTTAATCTCAGGTGGTGAAGTGAACACGGAGATTAAAAGCAACTGGTTCTTTCCTCGATTATCATGATGTACATAAATCCCTGGCTGGAAAATCGCTGGAATTGTAAATATCCCGCCTCCCGCGGCAGATTTTTTTTTTTTTTTTTTTTTGTGGGGCGGAAAATGGAATTTCAACTTTTTTGGAAATATCGCAGAGAACATGTTTATTTACACGCAAATAAACCCCTTTGGTACAAAGCGGTGTGTGCTCCGTGCTGGGGGAGGGTCACAAGGGCATCCCCGCCATGCTCGATTTTCCCGCGACAATGACATCACCATGACGTCACCCCCGCGCGGCGCGCTGATTGGTTGAACTCGCTGCTCCCGGAAGGGACCGGAGGGGCGGGGGACGCCCCCCCCCCCCTCCCGGGACCCCCGATCCCCGCAGCCCCCCGGACACCGGGGGGAGGATCCTGGGGGTCCCGCACCCCCGGCACCGGGGGCAGCTCCGCTTCCCTCGCTCCGCACCGGGGGAGGGGGCGGCAGGACCCCCGCGGCGGCGCGATGGGGGCGGCGGCCTGCGGGGTAGGTGGGGGGGAACCTCGCTCGTGTGTGTCCCCCCCTTCCCATCCCTTCGCCCTCCCCGGGATATCCCCGCTCCTCCATCCTCAAGGCATCCCCGGTGCTTCGCCCCTTCCTCGCGGTACCCCCGGCTCCGGGACCCCCTCCCCTCGCCAGCCCCGCTCCCATCCCTCTCTTTTCCGCACCCCCCTTTTCTCCCGGGGGGCACCCCCGACCCTTCCCTTCGCTATACCCAAACCCCCCATTCCCCACCCGCTGTGCGCCCCTCTCCCTTCCCTCCCTCTCCCCCGTCCTGCTCCCGTCCCTCTCCTTTCCTCACCCCCCCTTTTCTCCCGGGGGGCACCCCCAGGGAGATGAACGGGGTCACTAAGAGCCGCTTTGAGGTGAGGCCCCGGCCGGTCCCGCGGGGGGGAGGCCCGGCCTGGCCTGGCCCGGCCCGGCTGAGGAGGCGCGGGGGGGGCCGGGCCGCGCTGTGTGCGACCCCCCCTGAGGGCCCTGGGGTCCCTCCCTGGCCCCGGCCCGGACAGCGCGGCCCTGGGGCAAAGCCTGTTTGAATGGGGCTGGGATGGGGGGTGGAGATCGGGGGCGGCCTGGGGGGCTCAGGGCTGTGCCCCCCGCCTTTGGGGGGCGGTTGGTGTGACATTTCTCTCCTCCATCCCCATTTTTTGGGGGGATGTTCTGTCGGAGGATGTAAACTCCCGCGGGGGGGGTCTGTGAATGGGGCTGGGGGTGAGTGTGGGGATGTGGAGAGGGTCAAGGCTGTGCCCCCCGGGTTTGGGGGGCTGGTGTTAAACACCTCCCCACCCCGTTTTTGGGGGTCCCGTGGGGGGGTCGCTGTGAATGAGGCTGGGGAGGGTCTGTGGGTATGGGGTGGGGGGGCTCAGGCCTGGACTCCCGGATTTGGGGGGCGTTGGTGTGAAACCTCTTTCCCCTCCATCGGTTTTAGGGAGAGTGTTCCCCCGTCTGATTCTAACTCGAGGGGGGGTCTGCGAGTTTGGGGGGTGCTGGTGTGAAACTTCTCCCCCTCCCCATTTTGGGGGTCTCCCCGTCTGTTACAAACTCCCGGGGGGCTTTGGGGGGGTCGGAGCTGCTGCCAACGTGTTGCTGCGGGTGCGAGAGCTGCCAGCCAAGTTGATGATGGAGCAGGAGCTGTGGGGAATCGCGCCTGGAAAACACCACAGCCTTTGGGGAGCGGGGCTGGGGGGGCTCTCAGAGGGGAGAAAAGAGCCCCCAGCCCCGATTTTTTTATTTTTGGGGCAGTAGCAGGGGGGAAAAAAAAAATTTGCTTACGGGGAGGTGGGGGATGGAGAGGACGGAAGGAGAGGAGGGTAAACAATGAGATCTATTCAAAGGCCGTGGCACAAAGCGGAGTGTGGAGCCAGGGCGATTCCAGCCGCATTGTTGTCCCAGCTGTCTTCCCGTGGGAGGAGGAGGAGGGGTAGGGAGGAAGGGCAGCGGCGGGATTTACTTCCCATCGCTGCGAGAGGATGGAAATCCCTGCTCGCTGCTTCTCCGCACTGCCCGGCCCTTGTGGGGGACAAAAAAGAGCCTGGAATGGTAAAACCGTGGCTGGAGGAGAGGGCTGGGATGGCGATGCAGGGGAAATGCTGGTTAGTGGTAAACTGGAGGGGCTCTGGCTCCTCAGAGATCCTTGGGGGATTCCTCAGCCCTGGAGTTGAGGAAATGCTGGTGGTCCCACACTGCACGTGGGATTGTTTTCTTCCTCCGTCAGATCCGTGTGAGAGCTGCAGCAGTGTCAGTTTGGGGTGGGCTCAGGTGTTTTTAAATGTAATATTCGTGTTTCTGTAGCATGCAGTGCTAAAAGCACTGGGCTCACCCTGGGAACTCCAGAGAGGAGCCTGCACATGAGCCCTGTGTTATCCAGGGTTATTGTATTTACTGTTCTGGGCTCTTCTTGCCTGCACAGGTTTTTTAATTTATTTATTTTTACCCCCTGAGAGCTTTGTTTTTTATTTTGTACTGCTGCAGAGTGGCTGGATACAGAGTAAAAGCAGGTTGGTGACAGCTTTTGGGGGAAATGTCTCATAGGGCATCAAAATCCTTTGCTTCCTCAGTCTCTGTCTCTCAGTGCTGGAGTTCATTCCAATTTTGGGAGGGTTTTATCAGGGTTGCACCAGGACACGATGAACCCAATTCATTGGGGAAAAAGAGTGGGGAAGAGCTTTGTTTGGCCTGTTTTGGGTGGGGTTTTTTTTCTTTGCTGGAATGTTATTTTCTTCTCATAGTAAAAAACAAGACAAGTTGGAAAACAAGCAAAATGCTCGAGGAGCCTTTGAGGCCTAAAATTAATTTTTTAAACCTATATTTACACAGGAAGAGTTGGTGTGTTATAGAGAGGCTTATTTTGAGCTACAAGAAGTGCCTTTAAACATCATCCTGTTTCTTGGCTGTTCTGGTTGCTGTGTTCTGTGGCTGCCCCATCCCTGGAAGTGTCCAAGGCCAGGTTGGAGAGGGATAATCTGGGACAGTGGGAGATGTCCCTGCCCAGGGCAGAGGTGGCACTGGATGAGTTATTCCATGATTATAAATCCAAAGAATCCTTCATTTCCCCAGCATGGATTATCTCTGACCCGCTCACCTGGATAACCTGGAAAGTTTTAGAGCTGTTTTCCTTTAAATTTGTGATTTTCCACTGAGGTTATGTTGGTCAAGAGAGTTTCCAAAATGTGTGTTCACGCTTAGATTTATTTTCCAGAGGAGCAGAATGGGTGGAAATTCCTCTGTGCTTCCTAGAAACCAGTTTGTGGTGGCTTTGCTTTGCAAGAAAGGTCTGTGAGAGTTCACACTTCGTGGGACAGGAGGAAAATTGGGCAGAAATGTCTGGAGACTGGGAGGTGCTCTTCAGAGCTGTGGAATATTGTGAGGTCATGAAGGCAGTGGGTGTTTAGTTCTCCTCTTCCTCCTCCTCCTCTTCCTCCTCACCTGTGGGTACTGCCAGGGCAGTTCCCCTGGCTGAGCAGGGGGAAGTAGGGCCTTTGAGTCTGGAATCTTATTTTGGGGTAAAACCAGCCCGATCTGGGGCTGTGACTGATATATTGTGTCTGTTTCAGACTTGGAATAACGGGGGAATTGCAGAGGGGGAGGCTGGGTTGGGTTTGCACTTGGTTTATTGTCTTTTGTGGAGCCACGTAAACAGATTCCTGAGCCATTGTTGTTGGGTAATTCACAAATCCAGTCGGGAGGGGGGTTAATAATAATAATAATAATAATAATTCCTTACTGTAGGAATAAAATATGGGCAAAGCTCCTTAAATTGGACTTGCATGTGAGTTTCTGATTCCAGGAAGAGTGGAATTCTTTTTTTCCTGGGAATGCCATGGAACATACTGGGATTAGTCCCTTTACAGGAGGCGTGGCCACCACAGAGAAAATCACCACTTACTGCAGCAAAGCAAACAAAAAGGGAAAACATTACCCAGATTGACTCCTAATTCTCTGTGGTGTCGGTTTCACGTGGAACGTGCCCCGACAGATCCAAATCCGTGCTTTTATTTGGGATTTCTCTGCTTCCTGCCTGATGAAGAGCAGCCAAATAGCAGCAGAGAGGAGGGGAGGCATCTCCTGGTGCTTCTGAGTGGTTCCTGATGCTCTGGGAGGATTCATCTACCAAGGCCCAAGTTCTCTTGTCCTCCTGTGCCCTAGGATGTCACCTGCAGCTGTCCTGGGTTTCCCTCAGCCACCTTGTCAGGATTAAGTAATTCCAGTTGTTTTTTTTTTTCTTCCTCTGACTGTGAACCATCCGTGTAGTCTCCTCTACATCCTCCAAACCACCAGCACACAAAAAGCTCCATCCTTTCCAGCTTCCTCTGGGAGCCTCCAAAGCCTGCAGTGAGCAGGAGCTGCTCCTGGCTGTGAAGTGTGTCTGTCCATGGGGCAGTTTGGCCTGGTAGAAATGACATTTTGGCAACTCCAGGGATGTCTCTGAGGAATGAGAGTCTGTGGTGAGCCTTGTGAGCACCTTCAGCCTGGGAAATGCATCGATCCATGGAATTTCTGTGCTGGATTCAAGGTCCTCAGTGTGAGGGAATTCTGACCTTTCTGAACCTCTGTAATGCCCAGCTCTTGTTCAGCTGTAGAAATGTGAAATGAGCTAAGCTGGATGCAAAATGGGAAACTTCAAATGCTCCAAAATCGAGCTGCCTTCTAATAATTAATCCTATCTGTGTTCAGAAATTGAATAATCTCACTGACCCTAATCCCATTTTGGAATCTGCTGCGTTTCTGCCTCTGAAATGCTTTTGCTGTATTTTCAGGGGTTTTGGATCTTCAGGACTGATCCTTTTGGGGTTGTCCCTGCTCCCTTTCCTGGGCTGCTCCTTGTGCTCCTGGCTGGGGCTTTGCTGTTCCAAGGAATGGAGGTTGTGCAAAGAGAGGGAGACAAACAGGGCAGGGAAAACTTTGCTCTGACTCTCCTTGCAAAAACTGATGTAACACCATGGAATCTGATTTTATATGGGAAGAGAAACTGTTGGTGACATAACCCAGGAACACCTGAGGTGGCACAGTTGAAACAGGTGTTTTTTTTGGATGGTATCTAACAATGTGGCTCATAGATAATGAGAAAAACTGTAAAAAATAAAGATTTTGGGAGGGGGGTGTCCAAGCTGATGGATTTTCCATATTCCTGTTCACTCCTCCACCCTCGTTTATTTTTAATTTTGGTGTCGTGCCACATCACACGTAACACTTTATAAACCAGGGCTTCATTTGGGCAGGTGAATAATAATAAACTGTTAATTTATTTGGTTCAAAGTGGTTGTTGAAATGATGAGATAGGAAGAGATGTAAACCACGAGTTGTGTTTCACACCCCCACTGTGCTGCTGCTGTGGCTTGAGTAGAGGGAAGAGGGATTTGGGGAGATTGGGAGCAAAAATGAGTTGTGCAAAAGGGGCTTGGCCCAGGGAGGGTCCACCAGGAAAATTGCTTTTGGCCTCAGTTCGTATCACCTGAGAAACAGCTCTGGTGTCCCAAATTTTCATT